TGTTGCCATAAGTTATTCTCTCTCCTTTGGTTCGCGGTGCTAATACTAATGCTAATAATGCTAATGCCAGCAAATACAATGGCGGCTTCACAAAACTTTTCAGAGTTGTACGGGGCGTGGTTTGCAATTCGCCCAGCCAATCGAAATTGGTACTTTTTTCTCCCCAGGATAGTACCACCTCTCTAGCAGGCACTACAAAGGGGGGTAAAAGTTCTCGGAACTAAGTTCTCTTTTTGGTGCGCAAAATTCCAGGCACTATCGGAACTAAACGGGAAAAGTACAGGTAAAAGTACTCCGGTGTGAAAGCGCCTATAGACTTTACCAGAGACATTTTGTGACAGCTGGACACAGGGATGGAACAAGGTTATTGGGATGACTTAATACCCCCAAAAAGTATAATTTAAAGCACAGCAAATGGCACCAGGCCAAGCAATACATTGCTCTCAGCTTATAAAGAGAAGTAAGACAGTGATCCCAGGGGAGCCCAATCCCCCCGATGAACCCTCCGAGCTCCTGAGGGAGAGGCTAGGGATACCTGTAGATTGCAAGAAATGGTAATTAAAATAAAGTTGATGACTATATCTGGTTTATCTTAGGCGGAAGTTACTGACTATCAGGGATAAAACATTTTCAATGTTAGGTACATCTTCCCATCCAACTGTGATTTTCCACTTCCACAAACTTTTTGTGGCAGTGCTCCTGTTTCCTGTCTGTTTGTGTTTTTATTAGACAGAATAAGGGAAGGGAAAACAAAGCCACTATGATTCGGGAGAGAATGCAGTGAACTAATGATACAGCACGATTTTCTCAATGTGATATCCCAGCATGCTCAGATTTACCTGGTGATTTCAGCCGTAACATCCTACGTGGTTGACAAACACATTTCAGTGACTTAATGTTGATGTGTTTTTGAAAGAAAAAAAAAGATGGAAACATTTGTATAAATTACTCGTTTCTGAAAAATATCCCCGGTTCATCACAGTGATTGCACCATGGATAGCCGATTTAGTTTGAAAACCTTTTTATAGAGAACTATTAAGACTTTTTTAAGCATAAAAGTCGCCTTGACGTCATCCAACGAGTTGTCCGTTTTTGCCATTCACCATCTTGGATTATTTAGATCCAGAATTGACACATGAAAGGTGGAACAAAGTGCACCTTATTTACTTAAAAATACACTTTAAGATGACCAAAATGTCAACAATTAGCTGTAACCTTAACCCTAACTCTAGGAACATTGTTGGGTACACAATGGCTGCAAAGGTGAAATTACCTCGCTCAAAAAAATATATTTATACTGTTGGAGCTATATAAGGGTTTATGTTATTTAACAATTAAACATTTATTTTCTAGTTGTTTTTGTTTGTATTAAAATGAATAATTATTT